CTTCTTTCATATATATATATATATATATACACAGTGGGTACGGAAAGTATTCAGACCCCCTTAAATTTTTCACTCTTTGTTATATTGCAGCCATTTGCTAAAATCATTTAAGTTAATTTTTTTTCCTCATTAATGTACACACAGCACCCCATATTGACAGAAAAACACAGAATCGTTGACATTTTTGCAGATTTATTAAAAAAGAAAAACTGAAATATCAAATGGTCCTAAGTATTCAGACCCTTTGCTCAGTATTTAGTAGAAGCACCCTTTTGATCTAATACAGCCATGAGTCTTTTTGGGAAAGATGCAACAAGTTTTTCACACCTGGATTTGGGGATCCTCTGCCATTTATATATATATATATATATATATATATATATATATATCTTATATTGGCTTCATAGGCTTTTTAAGTTTAAAGAGAAAGAAAGAAAGAAAGAAAGAAAGAGAAAGAAAGAAAGAAAAGTTTTGGCTATTGCAAATGATATTTAGTGCACATTTTAGTGAATGAACACTGCATATAATAATCCATACCTGCACATATTATATTCTATGAACTCCACTGTAATAGCAGGACTCCTGGTAGAAGATATATTATATCTAAGCGGGACCTTCCTTATTAAATAAAAAAATTATAATAATAATACATTTTATGCCTAGAGATTAGCATTTAAAAACTCCATAAAATAATTTTACAGAGGAGCGGTAATTGAGTGCATATGTTTAACAAAGAATGAATGCTTTTTAATCACTGTAAAAAGTCATCAAATATTAGTCTGTGTTTACTTTCATGTTTTTTCAGCAAAATAATCACAAAAACTCCAACACAAGCAGAAACTCTTTAGAATGTCAAACATAACCGCATTAAACACGAACAGTTCTTTCCCTTCACTAAAAAACACATAAAATAACACTTAATTTCAATGTTTATTCTCCTAAAGCATGCTAGGAACCTGAAAAAATCCATTAACAACAATTTGAGTTTAAATTACAGACAATATCAAACGTAATGTAATGATCAACATTAGTATGTCAACAGAACTGATCAAAATAATGTTTGCAACTTTTGAATGAAATCAATAATTGTGACCCTGGAGCACAAAAGCAGTCTTTAGTCGCTGGGGTATATTTGTAGCAATAGCCAACAATACATTGTATGGGTCAAAATTATACATTTTTCTTGTATGCCAAAAATCATTAGGATATTAGGTAAAGATCATGTTCCATGAAGATATTTTGTACATTTCTTACCGTAAATATATTAAAACGTAATTTTTGATTAGTAATATGCATTGCTAAGAACTTCATTTTGACACTTTAAAGGCAATTTTCTCAATATTTAGATTTTTTTGCACCCTCAGATTCCAGATTTTCAAATAGTTGTATCTCAGCCAAATATTCTAACAAACTATACATCAATGGAAAGTTATTTATTCAGCTTACAGATGATGCATAAATCTCAATTTCAAAAAATGTACCCGTATGACTGGTTTTGTCGTCCAGGGTCACAGATAAGAATTTTTTACCTTGAAACCATGCATTTATTTTAGCTATATGGTAACAAGCCCCCTGAATTACTTTAAACTCTTTAAAAATAATGTTCCTAAGTTAACCTTTATCTCTATATCGAAATCTCATTTGGGAAGGCAGTGATTCATCTTTTATGAGTCATTAAAATATTGGTGTCCTGTAGTGTACAACACGTGCTTTTAAAAGCTCAACTTAAATGTGTGCCATAAAAGAACTGTGCTCATAAATAGCCGTTGAGCAAGTATTCTCCCATGAGAGGAGGAGGCTTGGACCCGGAAATATATAATACATCACAACAAAACAAGCCATAGGCCTTAGACATTGAATTTAACGCTGATGAAAACAAAGCTGTGAGGAACAAGCTTACAGTCTTTACTATGGCATGGACAGCTTATTAGCAATTTTCACAACTCACTACTTTCAAAACTGTTTTATGGCATTTTTGTCTACTTGAAAGTTTTGGTTCTTTTTTTTTTTTTCTGAAGATGTTTTGTCAGCTGAACAGTCAGTATGTTGTTAAACAACAGTGCAATCCATTGAACACACTGTACTTCAGTCCCTCACAGCCTCGTTTTCATTCCCGTCAGAAATGAATCATGGCACTACCTTGACTATTAAGTTGTGATTCTGTGCATTAGTAATGAAGTACACAATTAGAATTTCACAGTTAATTTAGCTGTGACTAAAATCTTTTGTGTGCGTGTTATGCTGATTACAGCAATTTGGGAAGAACAGAGACGCTGTTTTATAAATGCTTTATGAGCTGGACAGCAAGTCTTCACATAATGACAGAATGTTTTGTGTGAACCTTCCAGTTTTTGTTTTGTTTTTTGTAATAATGTACATGTATGTTGAATTTTTGTTTTAGGTATTAGCTTATACTATTACTGGTTTTGTATAGGTTTTACAGTTCTATAGTTGGAAAATGAAAGAAATGTTCTTAAAAGCAACCCCCAATGCTACACACATGCATATGAAGCAAACTTAAAGTAAAAAGCATGCAAAATCAACATAATTATCAAAAACATTGCATCATAGGCATTTTGAATATTGCTACCTGCAGGGTAACATTTTAAGTTATAAATCATTAAAAGCATTTTGATAATGATGAACTGAATATTTACCAAAAATAATTTGCTGCTTATTAATCGTTTACAAGGTAGTGGGTTATGTTTAGGTATTGAGTGGATTAAGGGATCTAAAATAAGATCATGCAGAATAAGGCATTAATATGTGCTTTATAAGCACTAATAAACAGCAAATATGCTAGTAATATGCATGCAAATATGCAACTAGTTTATAGTGAGAATTAGTCCCTAAACTAAAGTGTTACTGAAAATTGTAAGCAACGCATTATGAAGTATCAGTCATGTAGCACACATGGTGTGGGATGAATTATATGAGTCTGTATAGTACCGGTAATTTAACCTCAAAGGAATAAATCAGTAAAAATGATGTGGGGGGAAACAATATAGAGAAACATGATGCTTTGAGGCAGTGATTCATCAGCACAAACACGTCTGATTCAGGTCATCAGCTCATTAGCAGAGCCCTGACATGGAATGGTGTGCTGCTGCAGGAAGAGGGAATTCCTCTCTGGAAACTGGAGCACACAGAAAAGAGGGATTGGCAAAAGAGAGAGAGAGAGAGAGAGAGAGAGAGAGAGAGAGAGAGCAGTGGGCAGAGCAAAGCTTTGTAGCTGCAAGCTGCATAACAGAGGGGTAAAATAGCTCAGACAGCTGCGTTTTTTCTATTATGCATTATTTTTGGGAATGCTCATTAGCATTGCAAATAGTGCAAGAACAGTATAATTTTTTTTTCTCAGTGCACCCCCTTTGCTCGAACTCCCAAATGTGTTTCGCGACTCAAAATAAGATGTAGCATGCATTGGTCGTGGTATCATGATAAAGCTAAATTATAAAGCAAATACTGTGTGCACTCATTTGAAATGTTATGCACTACATTTTAGGTTAATCTATTGACAAGGACAAAAACTGGCTCCTAAAAATGTTTATTATTCCACTTTTAATCCATGCCGTGTCTTCTGGCGCCCCCTGCTGCACAACATTGTCAGTACATGCTTCATCTTTTGTGCACAGATAATTTGAGACGTGTCCAGATTGTCCTGATGTGACTGCTTGCATCGGTCACAAATGCGTCTGAGGAAAACTATAGAGAAATTGATAAGTCACGAGAGAAGTAAGATGTCAGATTTACCATCACGCAGTCTTACTTAGTGTGTTTTTAAATGTGTTATAAATGCACAATAATTATTTTAAAAGATAAATATAATAACATTACAGTAATCTTTCTTCTTCTTCTGATGCACTGTAGAGCTCCAGGAACAGGATTAGGGCTCCTGAAGGGAGCACGTGCCCCTTTTGAGACCTCATGGGTTATATTGTTGTCCCTCCTTATGGGATGAAAAATGTCCCAGTTACTATTCAAAGGTTAATGAATAGGGTTAAAGCAGGACTTAATGTTGTCTTCCATCTTGAACACTTGATTAGCTGTCTATAGTTGCGCATGGCCACAGCATGTTAAACACTTGAGGGAACCGAATGGACACTTGCATGGAGTTATGTATATAAATATATATTTGCATGTGTGTGTATTTATATATACATAATATACACGGTACACACACATATATTACGTAAACAAAGGTTTTTTATGTTGGATGCGATTAATCGCGATTAATCGTTTGACAGCACTACCACATTTGTGATAATATAAATATTGCTCAATCATACAAAAACCCTCAGTGGTTGTCGAGCATCAAGCAAGCGTGTTTTTGGTCCACATTTGATGTGCTCCATGCATGTGCTTTAATCAATATTTATATGTGAATACAAACTATAATAGCTCTTCAGAAACCTTGAATTAAACCGTTTGATTGAAGATGATTACTTTATGTCATTATGAACTTTTTAAAGCATCAAAGTTTTGGGGAAATTGATTTTTTAGAAGAACAGAAAACCCACGTTTTATTAAAAATATCTTGCTTTGTGTTTTGAACAATGTATGGATTTGGAAAGATGTAATTGATGACAGTTTCATTTTTGAGTGAATTAACCCTTTCACTATTTTTGCTTATTTTGCTCATTATTTTTTAAAGTGGTATAAAAGCAATCACATTTGCAATCGTGATTAATATTCGTAACAGCAGCACTCTTGCTTGTGTGATTTTGCTCGATTGCATGAACACTAGTAGGCTTAAGACTATATATATATATATATATATATATATACATAAAACTGTCAATGTTGCTTCCTTTCACAATTCTATCCCAAAACATCCTAATTTAGCCTGAAATGGCACAACGCCGTTTGCCAACAATAACCTGCCTGACAGAAAAGGTGGTTTCTAAAGGCATTCGTTATAATTAAAAAGAAAAGCTTAAGTGTTATGTAAAGGGTTCTTCAGAGTATAAACACCATTTATATCCATTCAAAAGAACAACCAGTCTTAAAAATAAAATTTATTAGCATCTCTCTAATGTGTATAAATAAAAACATTTATAAGAAATAATGCATATATGCATTATGAGCTGAACAATAACTGGATTATAGGTGATACAAAGGAGAAGAGGCTTACTAACCTCGGTTTCATCTCTCTTTCTTTGTAACATATTCAGTTTCTTAGTATATGTCTGTGAGAATGTACCTGAAAACTCAAACTTGTCAAACAATATGCATATCTAGAAGTTTCAACACAACATTCGGTCATAAGAATAAAAGAACGACAGAAGTTCAACAGCAACAATGGAGGAGACAACATGGAGTTTTGGCAGTTTTACAATTTTCAGAGAACTTTGCAAAACAGCTTCAACATTGACAAATTAAAAACGGTGAACTGACAAGTGCCTCACTGTGATAATCTAACTCATCTTATAGCAGTTGCACCAATGCATTTGCGGTTTGTCTTAAATATCCGATGAGAAACAGCAGTTAAAATGATCTTTACAGGTTTTATCTTCTATTTCAGAATAAAACATTTGTATAATGAATAAAAATGCACAAAAGTGGTAAAATAAGATATGTTTTATATTGCTAACAACATCTGTCAGTATATGCATGAGACTGGACCTTCAACTGTAACATCGTGATATAAAGATCACTGTAACATCTGTAATGCAATCATTCTGTGGGCTCTGTAATATCGAGTTTCTAAGGCAAATCTGACGAGTTAAGACTCTGCCGTTCACAACACGATGGTTTTGGTCATGCTTTCAACACACAACGTGGTTTAAACAAAATAAAAAATGCTCTGAATTCGACAGATTTGCACACGTAACAAAACAAAAAAAAGACCTGAAAAAGCTGTCAATTGTTTTGGTCTAAAGGTGAAAAGTAAATTAGAAGGACATGGATGTGTAACACCAAAAAATGCCAATAGGTACAGGCAACGGCTACCTTTCAAATAACAACACTGTATGACGCCGCCATGAACAAACAACAACAACAACAAAAAATGGAGTAACAATGCCCCCCCGAACACAGGTCGTTTGACAAAGTGAAAGCGGAGCAGGAAGAGAGTGAACTGATGGAGCAGTGCATGATGGTTAAGAGCACGAGAACCCCGGTGACCTCTAAAGCCCAATGGAATGAAGGAAGTACACAAGAACTCTGACGGTGATGTGCTCTCTGCTTATCCCATGTCTTTAGAGTGCAAAGATACCCTTATTTGATGTGTTGTGTGATGCACACACACACACACACACACACATATATATATATACATATATAGATAAGTAAATATATGTATATATGCATATATGTCTAGCTTTGATGTGTCCGTAACTAAAACTCGGAGAACTCCTTTCCGCATTTTTCTGTAACAGATACACGAATGTCTTCCTCTTCATAGTCATCAAAGTTGCTTGTGTCTCCAGGACCTCGGCACTTTGGTATGAACGGCGCCTCCACCTGGTGGGTGATGGGAGAAACTGATGTAATCAAAAACAAACTTGAAACCTCTCTTCCTGCAACTAAAGCTGGACGAATTTTCAGATTTGATGATGTTTTGTTTAGTTTTTTTAAATTAAGGAATCACGATTTTGAGTAATAGCAAACAAATAGTAGTTTGGAGGAAAAAAAAAGATCCGGCCACGATGGCGCTCATGATTAACCGTGCGCTATGAAGCGATATGATCACATTGCTAGGTGTTATTCACACAGAATGCACTTTTGCGTTGACAAAGACCATTGCAATGGGGGGAAAAAAAAGCAAGGAGACAGTTGTTGTCTTTTACCTTGAGCGGCATCTCATCCTCGAGATGCAAACACGTCCTTCAAACTCATGTTTACATAAAAACAATGAAAAGAGCAGCGTAGGAACGCAGGAACCTATAGAGAACTACTACTGTTTGCTATTTCATGTTTGCATAATGGTGACAGGCTGAAAGATGATGCAATTTTCTTTGTTTTTAAATATCCTGCTGCTTGTGTTATACTTTTGCCTTGACTTTTTGAGTTGACCTCTTAAATCGAATGTCTACATTTTCGGCTAGGGAACATTCAGCATTTTCCTTATTTTAAATTATTTCTGAACATACAGGATGTGTTTAAGATAAGTTTGTACAATATTTGCCTTCAAATTTCTCAAAAGATAATTAAGTGAATTTGTTTTACTTGTACACCAAGTGGAGTACTTCAACTCTCTTTTACAAGCTTTTAATAAAGACAATGTGACTTTAATCAATGTTGTAGTTGCTTTCTTAAACGGTTAAATGTTTTTGGCATACTGCCCAGCCAACGGTTCATAATGATAAAAACTACAGGACTTCCAAGTACTTTAAGCACAATTGTTGGGATTTCAAGGACTACAATTGCATGTCTTTTAAACTTTTTACTTGTCCTGACAAAATTCTAATAAATGAAAAAAAAATGAAAAAAATATTAAAAATTTACTGTTTTCTTTGCTTCAACCTATGTGACACTGTATTACAATAAATAAGTTACTAAAATTTTAGATACCAGATACAAAAATTTGAACATTTTTGAAGTTGTTTGATTAACATTAATGACACGACAGCAGCAGGTATATTAGGCTGCTGTCACTTTAAGATGTAATAGACATAAATTGGAAGAAAAAAAAAAACACTCAATATGGTGGATGTGGTAAATTAAATCCTGCATCTCCGGTATTAGGCTCAGACTGTGTAACTGAAGACTGAGCATCATACCTTTCTCTCATAGATGGCTATCCAATCCGTTGTGGCAAACCATTTGTGGTTTTTGATATCATTGACACCATTCCTCAGGTTGCCGTATCGCTTGGTCAGGTCCACCTGCAGCAGATTCCTCAACAGATCTTTCAGATCCGAACTGAAGTGCGAAGGGAATCGTACCTACAAAACACGTTCAAGATGCCATTTTGATTGTGCATTCACTGCTTATCCAAATTAATCTAATTGCTTGACTGTACACGTATACATGCAACTTGCTAGTACCTTTCCAGACACAATTTTCTCATAGATCTGAATAGGCTGGTCTGCAAAAAATGGGGGATATCCAGCTGCCATTTCATATATGAGTATACCAAGGGCCCACCAGTCCACAGCCTTGTTGTATCCCTAAATTTGAGAAACAAATAAGTGCTTTGCCCTGCTTGTAAATTTGGATTTAAAGCTGGATGTAACGCTGGATTACCTTGCTGAGGATGATCTCTGGTGCCAAGTACTCTGGAGTTCCACATAAAGTCCAGGTTCTGCCTTTTACTCTTTTTGCAAAACCAAAGTCTGTTACCTGTGCGGGAAAATGACAGTTTTATTTTTTTTAAATGCATAAAAATGTTACTGAGCAACTGACAAGTAATACTGTTTCAGTGCAGATTTTGGACTTTGAAACCTGGCTAACAAGCAGATAGCGCCGCAAGCTCATGCAGTGCTGTTTGAATACATGCAATTTGTGCGTGTATTAGAAAATATAACGTTCTGCAGTTTATTTAATTGCTTAAGGCCATTTTGCGATTTCAATCATCATACAGTAACCAGCAATAACCACCCCTTCCTTTTCTCATCGAAGACATGCGATGTAGTGCTAAACAGTCTCTCGCTGTCGGTGCTTGTAGTAATTTTTGCATCTTTCTCGGACAGTTTTAAATGCTTCCACACTACCGACATGTTTGCTGCATTACTGCGCGCCTTTATTTAATCACGTCACGTCATTGTTCGGTACAATTTATTCAGTCTTTTCGCTTATTTGGCCGAACACCGAAAGAGTTTTTTTTTTATTTTATTTTTTTATTTATTCATGTAGAATGTGTTGGAGGATTAAATGTTTGTTCAGAGCATTTTACCGCTGATTGTTAGCCTTAAATAAGCACTAAAACAGAACGTTTTTAATTGAAACTCAGAAAATGAGATATAAATAAGCATATTAAAAAATTAAAAAGGCATGATTCCTTCAAGTAGCCATTCACTTTAAAGATTTTTGCACTTGATTTTTATTTTTTGCACTCGAGAACCCTTTTTTTTTTTTCTTCTTTTTTTTTTTAGGAGTGAGCATCCAGCAATGATCACTAAAAACACAACAGGCAATCCTGAAAGAAGCACAAAACAACCCACAGATAACGGCAAAAGACTTCCAGACCTCCACTCTACAAATTGTAAAAGTCCTTGTCCATGTGTCCACTATTGAGTGTTCGTACACATTTTTACCAATAAATTTCCATGACTTTTCCATGACTTTTGAGACAATATTCATGACCTAATGTTCCATTATTTTACAATAAGAATAAAAATCTGTTCAACTTATAGCATGTTAACTAAAATGAATGGCTATTAATGCTAATTGTTTGCTTTAGGCCATATTTCTTTTTTAGTAATAAGTACAAGCTGCAACTGCGCCAGACGTTACTCCACATAGAGAACATATCACATCACTGAATATTATAATTTATTTAACTTTCTGAATCTTGTTTTGGAAACTGTTCTCTTTCGCAACTATTTACATTAACTTAAAACAAAACCGACAGTGCTTACGATGGCCCCCAACTTATTTACGGCTTCGGGACAATTTTCAAGTCATAACTCAGACACGGGCCGGGCATCGGGCTTGTTTTAGGCTTCCTCCTTATAGTTTAGATATCCATCAATTATTATGGTGATGAAAAGGAAACAACACGAGACCATGCTACCGCGACTGTCAAGAGCAGCTCTGGCGGTGTTTAGTGTCCAGCAGCAGCGAGCACAGGCGCCTTCAGCACTGCTGGAAGAATTCCACATTAAAGTGCACGCAATAGAAGAATTTTTGTTTTCGATTTGAATAATTTCGTTTTAAAGTAGTAATTAAAAGTAGTAATTTGAGTTTTGGTTCATTTTTGTGAAGCGCTTCTGTTCAGAGAGACAGAGACGGCAGAAAGCACATCCTGTTTTGTTTTCTAAAAAAGCAACGTTTGCTGATATTGTGAATGCACAAATAAAAGTAGACCCTTTGCGGTTCCAAATGATATATTACTCTTACCTTTATGAGCAAAAATGATGGCGTATTTTAAGTTGTTTCCACTGTTATAAGGGAAAAAAATGCAAGTGATCGCGCTGGCGCCTTCATGTCCTGCAGAGCGTGCTTTAGCTTCCACTCTCCGTACACGCGATTGGATATGCGCCTAACAGCGCACTTTTATCTGGTTAAATGTATAAATTGTGAAATGCTTGTATTTTATATCTATAGATTTTATTTTAGGCAAGTCGTGATGATTTGAGAAGGCTAAATTGATCAAACATAGCCTATATGTGACCCTGGACCACAAAACCAGTCATAAGGGTAAATTTTTAAAATTGAGATTTATACACCATCCCAAAACTGAATAAATAAGCTTTCCATTGATGTATGGTTTGTTAGGATAGGACAATATTTGGCTGAGATACAACTATTTGAAAATCTGTAATCTGAGGGTGCAAAAAAATCTAAATATTGAGAAAATCATCTTTAAAGTTGTTCAAATGAAGTTCTTAGCAATGCATATTGCTAATCAAAAATTAAGTTTTGATATATTTACGGTAGGAAATGTACAAAATATCTTCATGGAACATCTTTACTTAATATCCTAATGATTTTTGGCATAAAAGAATATATAATTTTGACTCATACAATGTATTTTTGGCTATTGCTACAAATATACCCCAGCGACTTAAGACTGCTTTTATGGTTCAGGGTCACATATATTAAAATCACTGTCTACCGCTGGCCGCTTGGTCACTACTTTAAAAAACAAAAACTTGAATTTAACAAACAAAAAAATATTCCAAACATATTTCTAAATTAACTTAATGAAGAAACATAAAAAAATTAATATAACCACTTTGTCATTAAAAACCAAAACTGAACTAGGCTATTTTAATGGCTGCAACAGCAGCTGTGTAATGGATAAGAGAAAGAGAAAAAAAGACACAGGCTCCAGTCGGACTCAGGCCGAGAATTCTGATAATCTGTCGGACAAGGGCCGGGCTAGGGCCTAAATTTGAGGCCCATGTTTGGTACCAAACTCAATTTGGTACTCGCAAGGCGGCTTTATACACGCGCGCTTTGGATGTGACTCAATGCCTCTGGAGCGCGCAAGTACCAAATGGCTTAAAAACACGTCTAAATAATAAATTTTTGTGACGATGCAACAATGACCCGATTATGCAAGTGACAATTCTATCAACTGTAGGCTACCGAAACGCGAGCGCAAGTCTTGTATGGCAGGCGTGCAGCAGCTCTTGTAGCACAAACGAGATGCGCCGATGTGAAGCCGTTTGAAGAGAGGCCAAAGAGAAGTCAAAGAGAGAGGACACAGTGCAGCTGAAGCACTGTTTTCAAATGACTGATTTGATCTGATAGTCAGTGTGGATTCATTTACTCATCTAACCTACATGCTATGTTGAATGAATGTGTGAATTTCCCTAATTTTAAAGTCGAATGAGTAAAACTATGCAGCCTATGCGCAATCCCGCACTGAAACTCAGGACCTGATTAAACATAATTCTATTACACAGAGATGTGTGAAATAGATTTCCATGACTTTTCCAAAACTTTCTGGGTTTATTTATTTCTCCAAAACTTTTCCAGGCTTGGAAACTGCCGTTTTAAAACTCCATGACTTTTCCAGGTTTTTCATGAGCGTACGAACCCTGACTATTGGAAAAACCGTTGAAAGGAACAATGGATTCAACATTACATCAAGGCATTTTATAGCAGAATGTCAGTACAGCGGTTTATGATTTGAAGTTTGTGGAGAGGGATGGTCTAAAATGGGTCAAAAGTCTTATAAGCAGCTACAGAAAAATCACTCTGCTTAAAGGAGGATCTAAAAGTTACTATTCCCTGCTTTCTCCACCCTGCACTGTGAAAGATAGGGATGCACCGAATATTCGGCAAATGAAATTATTCGGCCAAAAACAGCAAAAAAATCTCTTTCGGTGTTCGGCCGAATATGCGAAAAGGGCGAATAATATGAACTGAACAATGACGAATGCGATCAAATAGAGGCACGCGCTAACGCAGCAAACATGTTGACAGTGTGAAAGTATTTAAAACTATCAGAGAAAGACACAGAAATCATTAAATACATGCCTGATTCAAGTCTCAAAAATGGCCAAAAAATATTATTTTACTAACTTGATAATTTTAAGCTAAATTGTGCTTTGTTGGTATAATGTCTGCTAGAATGTTAAAAAAAATTTAATTGCGGTTTTGTAATTGATTTTTCATTTGAAAAGCAGGACAAAACTGTAAAAAAGCACATTTTGTCAATTTAATTAATGCAATTGTGAAAAAAATGGCAAAATAGGCCTACACGGGGGAAAAATGTGAAAAACCGTGTTCGGTATTCGGCCTTCGGCCCAGTGTTTCATTTTGTTTGGCTTCGGCCTAGAATTTTAATTTCAGTGCATCCCTAGTGAAACATTACACAATGCATTCAATAAAAATGTGAAAAGTACAACTGTTTGTGCGTTATTAGATTATTCAGATTGTGTTTGTCAATAATTGTAAGTTAAATTAGGAACAGACCACATTTTATGCATAATCAAAGGATGCACAAACTTATTCTTGCCACTGCATACTGTATATGTATTTTTGTTCTAGTTACCTGTATATATCCATGCTGGTCAATGAGTAGGTTTTCAGGTTTCAGGTCTCTGTAGATGAGGTCTAGTGAGTGGAGGTACTCGAAAGTCAGGACAATCTGAGCAGCATAAAACCGTGCATGTGGTTCACTGTCAATCAAAGAAATCACATCGAAGAGTTAGAGACAAAACGAGAGATCAGCGAGAACCACTGAAGCAAGGTTTTCCTCACTCAAAAATGGCCTTAGCATGTAGAGATGACAACAGCTAGATATTTAAAATTACATAGTTTTGCCTCTGATACCAAAATTGTATCATGCATTTCACTGGTATTCATAGACTACTTTTTTTATTTATTGAACACTGCTAAATATACTAACTCTTTCTGACATAGGACATATCCCGTAACAAATCACAATCCCATACAGTTGAATAAAAATATCATTACTTGCATTAAATGTAGGGTTTCATAAAAAAACACTTTTAGACCCAAATTAAACTTCCAACATTAAATATTTAGTTTGACACGCACACACACACTTGCTCCGTGCAGTATACTGCTCACTTATGTGCTGTCATTTTGCAAAAAGGATATTTTGTTGTGAATTACTAACATGTACAGAGAAGAATATAACATAACAAAATATAACAAACACTGTACACATGCAATCCTACAGCGAGAAAATACATTTTTGGAAAATAATTCAGACACGAGCATCCTTTGCATAAACCTGTGCTGGAGTTTAATGTTAGTTGATCCAGCAGTAAATGAATAATTAGCTCAAACATGTCTTCCCTCACCTAAACCTCCCGATTCTTCTAAGATGTGAGAACATCTCCCCTCCCGGTACATACTCCATCACCATATACAAATTAGAGTTGTCCTGTGAGAATAAAGTCAGAATTAAAACTGAGAGACAAATAAAACTAGTGGATTTTTAGATGGCTATTACTGAAGTCTAAACTAGTAAACCACACTCCTACTTCTAGCTGGAATTGCTACACGACTATTCAATAACATTGTTAGTCATTTAACTTTTTAAACGTCTTATTTACACATTTATGTTTTGCTGTATCTATATTTATTATTATTATTTTTTAAAAGCTATGCTCACATTACTGTCGTGTTAACATGCTTTTAAAAATAATAATTGCTTAAAACCATTACATTGGCTTACTTGGTGTTGTATTTACAATTCAGTGGTGGGAGCAAAATCTAATTCTCTGATGCTAAATGCACTCACATCTCAAAATGCTTTTATGGTGCAAAATGAATATAAACACAATCAGCTACTTTTTAAGGGACCATAAATGGAGGGGACTAAATATCTGATGTCTAAACAGAAAGCAGCCTATTAGGCCTGCTGCTGCCTATGCTGTCATTAATAATAATCCAACAGCAATAATAAGAGAAAAATCCTTGCTTTTGTCTATCTTTGTTCGAGTTTTTGTTTTGAAGCTATATTTAGATGGTTGAAAATAGCTTGACTATAGCAAATAGCTCTGATTTTAACTTCTAATCGTTTTAAATGAATCCAAGGAACTTCATGTAGTCTTTGTCACTGTGATCCTGCAATAAACGTCATATTTTCATATACACGATTGACATTTCATACGGTCTTTTGTTCTTCCGAAATACAATCTCTAACTTCTATTAGTAAACAACGTTGCTTAACTTTTTAAGACATTTTAACTTAAAAATTAAAGAAAATTAGAAATAAAAGATTAGAAAAATGTGTACACCATGTACATGAAAAAAAAAAAAACGCATTAAATTCACAAAATAAAATACAAAACATACAAAATAAAACAGAGCAAATAAAGTGTAATGATATTAATAAAAACAAACAATGAATCAGTTGTGGTTGCAACAAAGTGGTTGCCAAGCAACACATAAACGTAAACAAAGGTGTATGTTACTTTGTAGAGTAATTTACAACAGCTTCGAACACGGCTCAGCCAATCAGAATCAAGCACCGGAACTCTCCGTTTTATAAAAAGTTGTTTTCAATAACACTTTTCCTTTCTTGGCCAAATATCGGCCGATTATTCGCCCTGGTTGACGCATCTGTTGATCACTATATGAATTTAATGAAATGGCAATAGGAAAGTGCAGCACAGTACCTTGAACGCATATTCCAATCTGACGAGGAACGGGAAAGATACTGCTTGTAATATTCTCTTCTCATTTAGCGTATGCTCCACTTGTTTCAACTTCACCACCTATGAAAAAACAAACTAAGAATTTTTGAGAGGATATTTATACATCATACACACTGTATTTATACCATGGTCTGTCTGAATACTTGATTCTGATTATTTGAATGAGTTCGCTAAAACCTTTTAATGCACGGTTAACTTCAACTCCGGTTATAGTAAATAGTGCAATATAAATAAAATTGCCATAGCTGTAGATTACACCTTACATTTTGAAACAAATAATTAGACTTTAAAAGCACCATTGATGGTTTTATCTATAATAATTTATATTTTTCATGGTGTGAAATACTCAAAGAAATCACAAACGCATGGTAATTTTGGTTACCTGCATGATAACAACCAACCTTTTGCTTGTCCAGAACCTTCATGGCATAGAACTGATCTGTAGCCTTGTGTTTAACCAGCATGACTCTCCCAAAAGAGCCCGTGCCCAACGTCTTTAGTTTGTCGAAGTCATCTAAACCAGTTGTGCTCTACAGCATAAAACAAACATTTAAATAAACTGTCCTACAATACCATAAACTAATTTCTGAGAAATAATACAATATCGAAGAAAATATGTGCATATATGTATTTATATAGAGTAGATACATGCTGCCAAAAGGAAACATTTTCTTAAAAATTATTATATATATACATATATAAATATTAGTGCTGTCAAACGACCAAATCGCATCCAAAATAAACGTTTTTGTTTACATACTATATGTGTGTGTTCTGTGTTTATTCATTATGTATATATAAATACACACACATACAGTATATATTTTGAAAATACTTACATGTATATAAATTAATATATTTATATTATTATATTTTACATTATATAAAAATATATTTAATATATAAACATACAATTTTTTTTAAATATATACATGCATGTGTTTGTATTTATATGTACATAATAAATATACACAGTGCATGCACATATATTATGTAGCAAAAACGTATTTTGGATGCGATTAATCGTTTGACAGCACTTGTTGTTGTATTCATTTGGATGTATATCAGGTACTGTACATGTCAATGTTTCTTAAGAAAAACAATTTCTCTCTAATGCTGTAAACTATACAGAAACCCTGTCAGTTGGTACATTACTATAATAACAAAGGGTAAAATATACATTAGAGTCCAGATTGAATTATTTTTAGATTTAAATGATCAACACTCCAAAAAAAGAATACAAATTAAAGTTGAACATAACACAGTTTTCTTATCAAATGATATAATTATACTTCTATTCCAATTTGTTGAATGAAATGACGATATTAAAGAGATGTACTGTTTGACTTTTGTGATGAATTTGAAAGCAGAGACTTTGTTTCAAATAAAAAGTAACAAAGCACAAAGCTTATTGTAAAAACTGGATGGAAGGAGATTTGTTCATGAACAACACAAAACAAAGACTAAAAACTGATTTTGGAATTCAAGAGAAAAAAAAAAAGTTTCTTAATTGGAACACATTTAGATAAATGTAGCATTATGTCACTTGCTCATCAACGAGTCCAGTCCATCAATTAATGTCTAGTGAAGTAAAAAGCTGCATGTTTGTACAAAACAAATCCTTGCTGTCAGAGAGCTCTCGGAATGCATCACAAATATCTTAATTTGTGTTCCGAAGATGAACGAAGGTCTTACAGGTTTGGAACGACATGAGGGTGAGTAATTAATGACTGAATTTTCATTTTTGGGTGAACTATCCCTTTAACTGATGGACTGGAGTGGTGTGGATTATTGTGATGTTTTTATCAGCTATTTGGACTCTGATTCTGACGGCACCCATTCATTGCAGAGCATCCATTGGTGAGCAAGTGATGCAATGCTACATTTCTCCAAATCTGATGAAGAAACAAACTCATCTACATTTTGGATGTAATGAGGGTGAGTAAGTTTTTGTTATTGGGTGAACTATTCCTTTAAATTCACTGTTTTGGCAACACTCAATACAGTATCTGACAAGATGTTATGATCACAGAAGTGACCCAGAAGTCACCAGTTATTGAAAATTAATGCTATCACATTGCTTTAGTTGCTGACTGCGTGAATGGTGCTGTGCTTCATCACTCATAATGAGGAAGAATTTAAAAAAAATAATAATAATAGTAATAAAAATAAATAAACAACACACCTGTGGTGGTGATTCCCATTTTCTCAAGAAATCTTCTTTGGCTTTGGCTAGAAACTCTTTCACTGCGAGGAAGAAATACAAAAATCTGAATTACGAAATTATAGCTGAAAAATAACTCAACCAACTAATCAAAATCAAAAGATACTTCATATTCAAGTTGACAAGTAAATGAGGGAATATTTTTCTAGTTCTAGTACTTTCTAGACATCAAAATCAGGCAAGGGTTGTCATGGACATCAGAGGTGAAAAAGAGTTTTTGTGAAGCATGCATGTATTTTTTTTATGAACACAGGAGCAGAACATCCAAAGTATAAGTTAAGACAATCCCACATAAAAAAAACAACACAGCAGACTTCAGTTGACCGCAGTGGCGGAAAAACGAGGAAAAAAGCTAATGATTAAATACACCGTGGCTTTTCTTGCAGGATGTTTTTTCGTCACTGCGGTAACTTAATGTAATTGTGATCATACCAAACGTCTCTACAGATCACCAAGGATTTTCAGGAACATTCACCCACATGGATGGGATGATGAAGAATCAGAGAGAAAGACAAAGAGAGAGAGAGAGAAAAGAAAGACTTCTGTCAAACAATCACATCAGTTAGACGGTGCAAGACATGGATTAGATGTGACAAAAGTACAGGGCTATAAAAAACTAGACAAAGCAAATGCTGATAGAAAGACTCAAAAGTTTATCGTTTATACTGAATAAGACAAAGACGACTACTAGAGCCAATCTGAGGATGCTCATCATGGTTTATAACATTCAAAAGCTGTATGCACAAAAATGGTTTTGGGCCCTGCAGAAGTGTGCTTCATTTCTAACCGCTAGTTTGTGTCGCTCTAACTGGTTTGAAGGTTTTTACAACAGCAGATGTCTGTAGGAGGATTCTTCTCACTGTCACATCCTTTTATGGCATGTTCTCGCTTCGCAAGCATGTGATGGCCTGGATTGAACCGTTTGGTGAAGTACAACCGCTCATCAGTACAACGGTTATAGACAAAGACTAGAACAGTTAAGATTAAGATGAATTTACAGAAATGTTAAGGTTTATTGTTTATGTTGTAGTATAAATTGACTTTTTTTGGGACAAGATTAGGGATCTTCCAAGATTGTCTGACAACTAGGGTTGCAAAAAGGTGGAAAATTTCCAGTAAATTTCGGAAATATTCTTGGATTTTTTGGAACATTCCAGGGATTTTTGGAAAGTTTCCGGAAATTTATCAGAAGTTTTCCACCCCTTTGCAACCCTACTGACAACCTATTAATGTTATGCAGGATAAACAGAGGTAACTGGGAATTTAACAGCAAACTGAACTGTAACGACTGCAATGAACGAAGTGCATAATTGATAAAAACTGACAATTAATTTGAAGCAAGGATTTCTACAACATACAAATATCCAACTTGAATCAACGTGTTCAAATTTACCTGAGAATTTTTCATATACTTCAGTGTATTCTGTCTTAATGCACTGTCTTTAGTGTTTTCTTTTTTCACTTTTTATCTTGCTCTTAAAACACATGAGAAATCTAACAGTTTAGCGAGACAAAAACACTTGCATTAGACATAAATTATCTGAAAAAATATATTATACATGTCTTGACTTAAGTGTTGCTTCTACCATACATTTTCCTTGTTTCAGGGATTTTTTTATTCTGATGATGATGATAATATTATTATTAGTATAATATAT